TGTTTATCCGCTCCCTTCAAGCACTGAAGGCCACCATCAGGTCTCCCCAGAGCTTTTTCCAAGCTAAGCAACCCCAGTTCCCTCAAAATGATTCTATGAACCCCATCTCTCAGCTCTGAATGGGGACAAGGGATGGGGACAGGGCTGAGGACAGGGACAGTGGCACTGGGGCACCCCGTGCCAACGCCACCACCCTCCCCACAGGGACGCTGCCCAACATCGCCCGCAATGCCATCATTAACTGCGGTGAGCTCGTCACCTACGACCTCATCAAGGACGCGCTGCTGCGGGCGCAGCTGATGGCAGGTGAGGACGGGAGCGAAGGCGCAGCCCCACGTGCCGCCCCAGCCCCCCCAAAAGCCCTCACCTCCGTTCTGCCCCGCAGACAACGTCCCCTGTCACTTCGTGGCTGCTTTTGGGGCCGGATTCTGCGCCACGGTGGTGGCGTCACCGGTGGACGTGGTGAAGACGCGGTACATGAACGCCAGCCCTGGGCAGTACCGGAATGTGCCGAGCTGCCTGCTGGCCCTGCTGCTGCAGGACGGCATCGCTGGCCTCTACAAGGGGTGAGTGGTGGGACGCCATCGGCTGCGCTCTGCTCGCCGGCCTCATTCTGCCACCGTGGCGCAAAGCGGGGATGGCTGACGTCCCCTCCTCACCGCAGGTTCGTCCCCTCCTTCCTGCGCCTCGGCTCCTGGAACGTGGTGATGTTCATCTCCTATGAGCAGCTGCAGCGTGTGGTGATGCTGGCCCGGTCTGCACCCCCCTGATCGCCCCCAGCCCCACTCGTCTGCATTGATGAGCTGCAGCAGTCAATTATATTAATTGCTGAAGCAGAGGGGAAGGGAGACAGCAAAGGTCCCCAACCCTGTGGGATGAGAGGGACCAAAGGCGGCTCTGTGAGGGACCAGCAGGAGGAGAATGGAGAGAAGGGAAGGATGGAAGAAGGGAAGGGAAGGTCCACAGCGGAGAGGGGAGAGGAAGGAAGAAGGTGTTGAGGTTTTCCAGTTGGGAACAGCGGTGCTTTCCGGCAGCAGTGGGACAGAGAGGTGGGAAGGAGCTGTGTGGGATGGGGGATGTGGTGAATCCGGGTATTCCTCACTGATGCTGCAAATAAATCACCCCTATGGGGTTTGTCTCAGCAGGACTCGGGGCTCCGTCACCTTATTTTTATTACAGGGATGGGTTTTTCTCCTGGTCCGGAGGTGCAGTTGGGTTACAATCCTCGTGGTGTTCTCCTCAGTGATTCTGGTCTTGCCAGAAGGGAGCAGCCCAAAACTGGGGAACGCTGCAGTGCAGAAGGAAGGGAGGAGGAGGGCAGCAATCAGTGCACTGAAACACGAGGGGAGCAGAGCTGGGGAGGTGGGAGCAGCCCCAGCAGCGTTCTGTGGACGGATGGGGTCCTGGAACCGGGGGAAATCCCCTGTTTTAAACCTCACTCACAGTGCTGGCAGCCTCGCCAGGACAGCAGGAGGCTGACAGCTCCTAGGACAGCAGCGCATTCCTCAGGAGCAGCTTCTTGTCGGGCGTGAGGCGTTTGGGGAAGCAGACATTGAAGTGGATGAGGAGGTCACCCCTACGCCGCGGGTCCTCGAGCAGAGGCATCCCCTCCCCAGGCACCACTTTGCAGTACGTGGGGCTGCAAAGCGAGAGAGGGCTGAGAAGGGTGGTTGAGATGTGCTCCTGAGGGGGGAGATGGGGCCCCACTGAGGTGCACAGAGCATCTCCTGCCACCACGGCCCCACACAGTGCCCTGCGTGCACATGTGAGGTTTCTGAAGGCAGATTTGCTCCCACCCAACGCCAGCCCACCCTGCCCTTTCCTCCCCCTGCCCTCACATTCCTTAACCCGGAGGCAGCGCCGCTCCATCCAGCTCCCACCTCCCCAATTTTGCCTCTCCAAGCACCCTGAGGGTGAGCAGAGCACGGTGGTGGGACTCTGCCTGCAGGTCGGGATCCCCCAGCCTGCTCCCAAAGCTCTTGGAGCAATCCAAGAACCCAAGCAGAGCAGCCAGCAGCCTGCAGGGCTTCCTCCCACAGCCCCCATTCCCTTGCAGCTCTGCACCACCTCCCGCCCTGAGCCGAGCCCTCTGCTCACTGCACGATGTCATTGATGGGGACGTTCAGCAGCCGCCCGTCCAGCGTCCTCACATCCACCGTGCAGCCAATCAGTGCCTGCAGACACAGGGCAGGACCCCGAGCTGCAGCTGTGGCCACACAGGGACCCCCATCCTTAACCATGAGAGCAGTGGGGCAGCCAAGGAGGACGAGTCCCAGACACCAAAGGGGCCGAGGCCTCGAACCCAGCACCGTTCCTCCCTCCTCTGCACGTTTTGCTGCTGCTGGCTGAAGGCAAACGGCAGCTGGGATCCCCTCCCTTTGCTCCTCACCTTTCCCAGGGGGATATTGGCCACGTAAATGAGGTCGTCCTTGGTTCTTTTAAACCTCGGGTGAGGTTTCTCTTGGATAACAAAGGTGATGTCGGCTGGAATGACGTTGGGGCCCTAAAAAGGGGGGAAAAAAGGGATCTGGGAATGGTTGGATACACCGTTTTAGAAAGGGGACACCAATAGCTGCGCCTTTGTTGACGGCTTGTAAGAAAAGAGCATTTTCTTCACTTAGGGCAAAAAAGCCAACAGTGTGTTTTAGCAAAGTTAAGCCAAAGGAAACCAGAGCGAGTTCTGCAAACGTGAGGGCAGACAGAACAGCACCCCTTTCTGTTATGTTGACCCCAAAGGCAGAAGGGGCTCCTTTCTTTCTGATTCTGAGCACAGCAGCGCAGCTGCACTCCGGAGGAATCTGTCACTTCCCTGGGTCAGCACTAAGGGCACAGCACAGCCACGTGTCCACACAGGAGCAGTGGCAGAACAACAACCCTGAGCTCCCACCGCCGGGACACGGCAGAAACAGGAAAACCTGCACAGAACACACAGCTGTGCCTGAGGAAATCCAGCCCAGAACTTCAGGTCACGGTGGTTACCTGGTCTCCTTCCTTCTCAAACGTGACCCTGGTGCCTTGCTTCCAGCCCGGCTGCACGTCGATGATCAGGATCTTGTCCCTGATGGTGCTGGTTTGGCCGTCTTCGTTCATCACCTGCAAGGGTGGATGAGTTCAGGGGGAGAGATGGGGAACCTCTGCTGTCAGAACAGCTCCAGGCTGGGCTGGATGCACCCTGGGCAACGTGATGTGATGTGGGGAAGCAGTCCTCACCCTGCTCAGCACAAGCTTGCTGTCCTTACCCGATGGGAGATCTTCATCTTCTTGGTGCAGCCAAAGAAGAGATCTTCAAGGGAGACGTGGAGGTCCCACACCATCGGGGGGTCCTGCTTCATCACACCTCTTCCTCGCAGCCCTCCAAAGGGCAGGGTCACCTCCAAGCCATCCTTGGTGAAGAACTCTGCATGGGGCAGCGTGGGGGACGCAGGGCTCCAAACCCCAGTCCCAGGGTGAAAGAGAGAACAAAACTTCCAGCAGAGAGGAGATGGAGATGAGAGAACGGGGAAATATTTCACTCGGGGGGCGGTGAGGCCTTAAAACTGCTGCCCAGAGCTGTGGGTGCCCCATCCTTGGAGGTGCCAGAGGCCACAGATGGGCCCTGAGCAGCCTGAGCTGGGGGCACCCAGCCCAAAACAAGAGGTGGGGCTGAGGGGGGTTTGAGGTCCATTAGGAAGAAGCACTGAGACAGACCATGAAATTCAGAGGCTGGTGGTGAGCACAGCCCTAAAGGCTGCCCCAGGGATGGCAGCAGAGCGCCCACCCACCTGCAAAGGGGTTGTGTCCTCCAAAGAACTCCTTGAAGACTTTGTCGGGGTTGTTGTGGAACACGTAACCAGCAGTCCAAGCATCCTCACCGCCAGACTCCACAGGGATGCCACCTTTGAGACCTTCCTCACCAAACCTATCGTAGATGCCTCTCCTTACGGCTAGGGGACAAGGAGGGATTGGGAACAGCCATTTTACTGAGAGAAGGACGCCCTCAGAACAGCCCTGTGGAGTAGGATGTGGAGGTTCTGGCGGAGAAAAGCAGGACACGAGGCAGCAGTGTGCACTCGCAGCCCAGAAGGCCAGCAGGGCTGCACCAACAGAGGGGGCAGTGGGCTGGGAGGGGATTGTTTCCCTCTGTCTGCCCTCGTGTGGAGCACTGCATTCAGGTCTGGGGCCCCCAGCACAGGAGAGATGTGGGGCTGTGGGTCCAGAGGAGGGCATGGGGATGCTCAGAGGATGGAGCACCTCTCTATGGAGACAGGCTGAGGGAGCTGGGGGTGTTCAGCCTGGAGAAGGGAAGGCTGTGAGGAGACCTCACTGAGGCCTTCCAGTGCTTGAAGAGAGCTGATAAATAGGAGGGAGAGGGACTTTTCACACAGTCTGGTAGTGATAGGACAAAAGGGAATGGCTTTAAACTAAAAGACGCCCTCCGACCAGACGTGAAGAGGAAATGCTTTCCCCAGAGGATGGTGAGACCCCAGCACTGCTGCTCAGAGCTGTGGGTGCCCATCCCTGGAAGTGACAAGGCCATGGATGGGCCCTGGGCAGCCTGAGCTGGATGGGAGAGTGGGGAGGGTGATGGCACCCAGTCCACATCAGAGGGATGGGAGGGTTTTAACATCCCCTCTAACTTCAGCCATTCTGTGATTCTATCATTTTCTCCTGCTTCTCGTTATGGAGGAAAGCCTCAGCCCCAAGCTTCACTTGGGCAGAGGTGAGGTAGATAGTGCCCCTAAAGTGAGGATGGGTTGGATGAGAGCAGGGCTTGCTGCACTGCATGAACATTTACAAGGATGGATGGTGACAGGACAAGGGAATGGTTTGAAAGTGAGACAGGGGAGGTTTGGGTTGGATGTGAGGAGGAAGTTTTGGAGGCAGAGGGTGGTGAGGCACTGGCACAGGTTGCCCAAGGAGGCTGTGGATGCCCCATCCCTGCAGGCATTCAAGGCCAGGCTGGATGTGGCTCTGGGCAGCCTGGGCTGCTGCTTGGCGACCTGCACACAGCAGGGCTTGGAGCTGGATGAGCACTGTGCTCCTTTGCAGCTCAAGCCATTCTACCACTCTATGCAGTTCAGCCCCCACGGCTTACGGTCGCTCAGCACATCGTAGGCTTCTGCCAGCAGCCGGAACCGCTCCCACGCCCACGGCTCCTTGCATTTCTGCGGGTGGTTCTCCAAGGCCAGCAGGCGGTACCTGCGGGGGGAGGAGCAGAGCGTGGCCTGCAGCCCCAGCCAGGCCCGGTGGTGGGATTGAGGCGGCCGGCTGCCCCGAGCCCAGGCCCCAGTCTGGCTGCCTTCTCCCCCCACACGGCCCCATTCCCCCCTCACGCCTTCTTAATGTCGGCGTCCGTCGCGGTGGGGTTCAGCTCCAGCACGGCGTAGTAATCCTGCCCCATGGCGGCTCCGTCGCTATGGATACGCAGGCCGCGCGGGGTCGCCACGGCAACGAGGCCAGGCCGCACTTCCGGCTGTTGGAAGCACTTCCGATTCCGGTGGCGCGAGGCACGACGGGAGCTACGGCTCTTCCGGCGCCGCCATTTCCCACACCGGAGCCGCCCCCCACGCGCCTTTTGGAGCTCAATGACGGCTTTTCCTGCACACGCGCTCTATGAAAGCTTCTTTATTTCAGCCCACAGCCACGCTTTAATCTCCAACCCCCACCCACCAACAGCGGTCACCCCCACGACAGATAAAAATCGGCCGTAATGGACAAAGCTGAGCAGCTGACACAGCGGAAGCAGCCCCAGCCCTGCTCACAGCCCTCACGGCCCCGTTGTGCACAGCCCCCAACCCTACAGGTCGCCCAGCTGGTACCGCCGCACCACCCCGTCCCTGCAGCACGTGTAGATCTGCTTCTCCCACGGAGCGACCTGGCAAAGGAGGAAAAAGATGCAGTAAACCAACAGAGCGGGGTGGGAGTACAGCAGTTCTCATGGTGTGGGGGTGGGGAAAAGCAGAGGAAGCCAACAGCTCTGCCACTGCTCTGAGAAGCACCCAAAAAGAAAAGCACCCACACGTCTAAAAGATACACAAGCCAATTTATGTTTTTTCTCTGAAAATTCATAGAATCATAGCATTACCAGGGTTGCACAGGAGCACAGCGCTCATCCAGCTCCAAGCCCTGCTGTGTGCAGGTCGCCAACCAGCAGCCCAGGCTGCCCAGAGCCACATCCAGCCTGGCCTTGAATGCCTGCAGGGATGGGGCATCCACAGCCTCCTTGGGCTTTTTAGGAAAACGGACCTTTCCTATTAATCGTTGTCACCTGGGAGAAACATTCTCCTGTCCCTTTAGTACCTAACAGCTCACTGAAGAAAATTCACATATTCAGAACAGATGGTTCCTTTCTTGTGGGATGATGTGCATTCTGAGCAATGCACTGCTTTGTCCTTAGTGCAGCCCTGACACCTGGCTCTGGCACTTCCAGAGATGGGACATCTTTCACATTTGTTCTATGGGGGAACTGCAGGTGAGCACCTCCTGCCATCTCACACAGAAGTGGGCCCATGAGAACTTAGTGAGGTGCAACAGGGCCGAGTGCAGGGTGCTGCATCGGGTCGGGGCAAAGCCAGGTATTGACACAGACTGGGGGAAGACGTCCTGGAGAGCAGCCCTGCGGAGAAGGACTGGGGGTCCTGGTGGACGAGGAGCTGGGCATGAGGCAGCAGTGAGCGCCTGCAGCCCGGAATGCAGCCAATGTGTTCTGGGCTGCATGAAAAAGGGGCGGCCAGCAGGGAGAGGGAGGGGATCGTCCCCTCCATCGGCTCCTGTGAGGCCCCATCTGCAGCACTGCGTCCTGCTGGGGCCCCCAGCACAGGAAGGACGTGGAGCTCCTGAAGCGGGTACTGAGATGAGCAGAGGGCTGGAGCAGCTCTGCTGTGAGGAAAGGCTGAGGGAACTGGGCTTGTTTGGCTTGGAGAAGAGAAGGCTGCAGGGAGACCTCATGGTGGCCTTCAGTGCTTGAAGGGAGCGGAGGAACAGGAGGGGGAACGGCTGTGTGTGAGGGTGGGTGGTGACAGGACAACGGGAATGGCTTGAAAGTGAGACAGGGGAGGTTTGGGTTGGATGTGAGGAGGAAGTTTTGGAGGCAGAGGGTGGTGAGGCACTGGCACAGGTTGCCAAGGAGGCTGTGGATGCCCCATCCCTGCAGGCATTCAAGGCCAGGCTGGATGTGGCTCTGGGCAGCCTGGGCTGCTGGTTGGTGACCTGCACACAGCAGGGCTTGGAGCTGGATGAGCACTGTGCTCCTCTGCAGCCCAGGCCATTCTACCATTCTACAATTGTATGAATTTGCTGAAGATTTCACTCCTGTCTCTGAGGTGGGCAGGTAAGTGCTCACATAAAGGGTCTTCTGATAGATCTGAAGGGGAAAAGGGGTTTGGGTACTGCTGAATTTGATAGGACAAGAGGTCAAGGCATCACACTGCACCAGAGGAGTCAGTGGGGTATTGAGAAGCATTGTCCAAAGGGTGGTGATGCAGTGGCACAGGCTGCCCAGGGAGTGGAGGAGTCACCATCCCTGGGGGTGTTCAAAGGCCATGGGGATGTGGCACTGAGGGATGGGGGCAGGCAGGAGGCACGGTGGGATGTGCTGGGGTTGGTAACCTTACAGGTCTTTTCCAACCTTCATGATTTTATGATTCCCTGAATTCTGCAGGTCAAATTTCAGACTCAGAATGATGCTGCATGCTAAACTTGTGTTTATCAGCTCAGGAAAGGACTGCGGAGGGGGAACCACTTAAAACTAAGCTGATTTCCTTCAGTTTCCATCCTTTGCACCATGTGGTGCAGAGCCCAGGGAACACAGCTCACTGTCTCCCATCTGTGTGGACACAGAGCTGAAGTACTTTTGTGGTCTCACATCACATAGGAGCTGAAGACAGGCAGCACTGTGCTGCCAGTTGTTGCTTTGACCCCAATAAACTCCCAAGCACAGATCAATTCCAGCTTCCTTACAAGAAAAAAAAAAAACAACATTCTGCCAGATCTACTCCACAACTAAGTTAGTTCTCTGCTTCAGTTCCACTCCTGCAAAGTGGAGATAATACTACCACGTACCACAGAGAGATGCTGACAGCATTTCCTTATGCCAAACATTAACAGAAAACCTCAGGCAGCCAATTCCTGAGGTAAATGCAACTGCCTGATGCTTGGCATCACCTTTCCCCAAGCACTCTACTTCAGTCAACACACCATATTCCTTACCTTGTACACAGGGTCACAGTCTGCCTCTGTGAGGTCGATGACATAATCGAGGTCTTGCTGGATGATAAAGCACGTTCCATCACCTGTGCAAGCAGAAAGAACACCAAGGAAGGAAGGAATATTGGGTGAGGAGTAAAAACAGGCCACGTTCTTTCTATAAAGAAAATGGAGACGTGCTGTGAGGGCATCACTGAGATGGGAAAAGGCTGTAATGATTGAGAAGCTCCATGCAGGCCCTGTTCTGGGGGAGCACAAGAAAAATCACAAGGCAAAAAGCAACTACGTAATAGGAGGTTCCACTACATCACCTTTTTGCAATGGACAATTGGTCAAGCCCTCTTCTAGAGGCTTGGACATCCAATGCTTGTATATAAGAGAGGGCATAAAGAGCATGAAACTGCTCAGTTCAATTCCAAAATCTCTACATAGCACTTGAGTTACCTTGGCTGGCAATGAATCCATCTCTGTATGGGAACAGGGAAAGCACTGGTGCTCCTGATCTGTGAATTATTTGGATTGGAGCACTGGAAAAAAAAAGGAGGAACAGGAAGAAGAAAAGCATTATGGACAAATCAAAATCCATCCCAAAGTCTGAGTGCTGAAAGAAGAATGTGAGGTAGTGATTAGAGGATACGTAAGGAGAACATTGAGACACAGGGATTATCCCTACCAAAACAGCCACAAGCTTGGAGCTTATCGTGCATGAAAGACTTCTCAGATTTTTCCATGCCAGGCTCCCCTGTCCTCCCCCATCCATCTGGATGCTCCTTGCTTGGAGCTTGCCCTTCACACCAGTAAAAGCCACCTCAGAGCATCTCCTGCCAAACATCCTCCTGAGCGATCCCCAAGAGAAAGAAAAGATGCCAAGGGGCTCCAAAGCTCACAGTGCCATTGCCCTGGGCTGAATCCACCTTCAGAAGAGGCAATGTCTGCCAGAACCTTTGATTTGACTCTTCCTCAGAGGAAAACAACCACCCACAATTGCCATTCAGTACTTGCAGCCCCAGGCATGCACTCACTTGGTGTTTCTCACATCCAGCTGATAGATGTTCCCATCCTGAGTCCCTGCTAGGAAATAGGTACTTGAGAGGAACGTGCAGCAATTGAATGCATCAGATCCATCAAAGAGGAACACCTGGGAATATAAAAACCAGCAAGTGTCACAGATGTGCCAAAGCAGCCGCAGGACAGCCAGGAATAGGAAGCAATTTACTCAGGAAGTCAGTAAGGTTGTTTCTGTGAGTCATGGCACAAATCCAGAGGTAGGTTAATAACCCTCTCAACTCTGCTCCAAGATGTGTGGGAGAACAGTGCCCTAGAACCAGCCGTGCCAAATTAGGAAGGTTACTGCAATCAGTGAGTGCCCCTGGGGCACTCTGGAGAAGAGAATCCATCACACCATGATGGGCAGACCAACACTGAGCTCAAACTTGTCTTCAGACACAGCAGCAAGAACAGATCTGCAAAGCAGGCTTGTGAAGACTGCTCCTTTCTCACAGAGCCACAACCGTTGCTGCAGGGCTGCAAATTACTGCCAGCCAAGCCTTTGACACCCCACTCACCAGCTTTGGTGAGCATCTGCTCCACTCAATTTTCATTCTCCACAAGGAATTAAATCTGCTATTCTGCCAGATTCTGCCAGAAGTTTGTGTCCTACAGCCCGGGACAGTCCTGTAGGATCTTCAGGACCTCAGACCTGCCAATTCCCTTCCCTTGGCTGGAAGGAAATGGGCTGGTGAGCACCTCAGATCCCTTTACATGCTATTCAAAATAAAGAGCAATTTTACACTCCAGCTGCATGGCTGTGCAGCCCCTGAGCAGGCCACAGGGAAAGACTGCTGGGAAAGCAGCAGCCCTGCAGACACAGCCTCAGTTCCTGCATTCTCAATGATACCTACTGGCTGCTGTTTAGTTTGCCACATACCTGGGTGGAACACACGAGCAATTCTTACTCCTCAACCCCCCCATGTATAAACCTACCCAGAAAAAAAAGGAGAGAAAGGATCCCTTTATTGTACTGGCCTTTAGTCTCTCTTTCAGTGAATAAATACAGGGGAGAACACTGCAACCTGGGACCCCATCCAAAGGCATTGCTCCCCAGAGAGCTGGATAGATAGCAGCTCCTGAGCACTCACATGGGAGCACAAAACCAGTGCGTGTGCACGGTGCTGGTCCCCATCCCCTCCTGCAGAGGGGTATTTGGAAGCACTACTGATAGTCTCAGCCTCCTTACCATCTGCCTGCTCTGCAGCCCAACTCCCTGCAGCTTCTTGTCTTCTCGAGCCAGCAGCAGGATTTTCCCTTCTGTCCCAACCTCACGTTCACCTGAGTGGAAGACAAAAGTTAATTCCAGCAGCACAGGGAGACAATGTCCTCAAGTCAGATGGTTGGGATCACAACTGCTGAAACCCCTCTTATGCCAAGCAGGCCAATAGCAAACGAGACTGCAGTCTTAATCACCCAAGCTGGAAGGTAAGGCTGGATTCCTCCACAGGGCTGCATTCTGGTGACCTAGTGAAGGTATAGGGCAGCATGCCACGCTCTCTGAATTACACCTGCAGCACCAGCTGGCAAAACAAAGGGGAAACAAAGGTTGTCCTTTAAGAATGTTCCTTACTGGGAGCTTTTTCAGGCGTGCCCAGGTTCACCGAGTCATCAGCAGTGCCCACAGCGATGCCGTTGATGGGGGAGCCACAGTCAGCAATGACACCCAGACAGGAGGATTTGCCACAGTCCCAGAGGCGTGCAGTGCCATCCCTAGAGCAGGAAAGGACATTTCTTCCCCGATCCACAATGGCAGTATCCAAAATACCTGCATCAAAGCAAAGGCCGTGTTCAGAGACAGCACAGAAGGCAAAGGCTGAGGGAAGCATACATGTCCCAGGGCAACCATGCACCCACCTACAAGCCTCAAAGCAATGACCACAGAGAAGTCTGTGTGAAAGACAGCAGCTCCCAGTGGATCAGCATGGGAGCCACCACGCTGCACAAGGGTGGGATGCTACCAACATCACAGTATGGCTGAGGTTGGAAGGGATTTCTACAAGTCACCTGGTTAAATCCCCTAAATTGTGGCCCCTTTCCCCCCCCCGTGAGCTGTCAGTTGGAGCAGAACTGGGCCATGACCTCCCACATCTCAGACTTAGCTGATACTGCAGCTCCTGCCAAGTTTCTAGCTCCAAAGTTCACCTCTAGCTTGGGCAGGAAGCTGTCTAGCCCAGCACTCCTGCAGCACTGCCAACTACAGCTCCAGATAATCCCAAAAGCTGCACAGGGCAAGCAGTATCTCTATTACCCAGCTGCAGGAACATCAAAAGAGCAGCCTTAGCAAATGCTAATGCCCCCAGCCACTCCATTTTGAGTCCAGATTTGAAACAAAAAAAAACCAACAAAACAAACATGACAGTGTTTTTCTGGAAGGGAACAGTCAGATGGTTAGAAGACTTAATTAATACTTTCCCTACAGAAGCAGTCATTAAACATCACAAACTGAAATAACAGGGGAAGTCTGAATCAGCAGAAGCCAAGCAGTTTGGGCTGGAGTCGTGAAGGTGAACCTTGGAGGCATCAGGAGCCAAACAGAGCTGTTCTGACCTGATGCCATCACACTGCCTGCCACGTTTTGCTTACATTTGTGTGAATCTGTTTTAAAGCCATGCAATTAGATCACACAAAAACAACAGCATGTTCAGTGCAAAACAAGTTAATCAGGCTTTCAGCAGGTGGCTGCATGGCTCACAGTCCCCAGCAAAGCACCTCGTGAGACAGGGAGAACAGGAGCCTGAGCAGAGCTGTGCTATTTGCTCAGGAAAGTGGGAATTTGAGCAGTGTTTTGGGCATCCCATGCTGCATCTGCAGCTCACTTGGATTTGCTCATGCTCACCCAACTGTTAAATTGGTAAACAGGAGTAAAATAGGAGCTTGCTTAAGCAGCACGTATAAATTCAGACTGCTTCTGAATGAATGGTCCTGAAAACCCAATCTTGTCAGAGATTATGTCAAACAGAGGCTCTGTCCATAGAATCATTTGAGTTGGCAGGGATCTCTCAAGGCCACCTGGTCCAAATCCCTGCAGTGAACAGGGACACCCACATCTCCATCAGGTGCTCAGAGCCTGGACCAGCCTGACCTCACTGATCTCCAAGGATGGGAGACATTTCTGCCCAAAAGCTTGCTCTCAGGAGGCTTTCTGGGTGGCTCACCATCCATGCCTTGCAATCCATTGGGAATAAAGTGTCAATGGGAAGAGATTGGAGCAATCACAGCAAACGGCCCTCAAAGCACCACAGAAGGTGGACCAGGAATCCTCTATGCAAGTAATTTATTGTCATTTTCAGCAGCAAGATCACCAAAGAGGGCAGAGCTGAACATCTGAGAATGAAGAAGCTTATTCCAGCCTCGACAAAGAAATCCTCATTGAAGCATCCTTGCAGCTGCTCTTGCTGAGCATGGTGCTGAAAGTGAGAATGGCACCCTCAAGGCTCTAACTGCCCATTCACCTTCTGCACATCTCTTAAAGCTGCTGCATGCTTTTCTAGGCAAAGGAAAATAAAAAGGAAGAGGCTCTGGAGCAACTGAAGGTAAGCATGATGAGCTGGGAACGAGCAGGAGGCACTTCCTTGCAAGCAGCAAGGCTACTCCTGCAGGTCAGAGCTCCAGAGCTCCACCTCTGGCACTCACAACAGGCTGAGGGATCGTGTCCTCCCTCAGCTCATCAAGAGAAAGTTTCAGCTGTTTTACACAGCAACCACTGATCTTTTTATCCACATTCCTGGAGGCTGAAGATCTAACACACTGAGATCTAACACACAAACGTACAGCACGAGGTGCAGCAGGCTGGGGACTGAAGGTCAGCCCTTGAGTGCAACGCAATGACACACACAGCAGGTTAAGCATTTTAAAGGCTAAGTACTCTGTACCTCCTTTGTGACCTTTAAAGGTTACTACGCAGCTGGCATCTTCTGCTGACCAGATCTTTAGCTGGGCATCCATTCCCCCACTCAGAACCACAAGGCCAGATGGGAAAAACCTGCAACAATTCACATCATACACATGGCCTTCCAATAGTCTCTGGAAAAACAAAGAACTACATGCTAGTTCCATTGTCATCACCCTCATGCCAAGCAATTTTTGAGCTATGACATTGGAGAGATGGGTGTTACCACGTGGGTGGAGGATTAAGCTCAGATCCTCCAGGTCTGCACTCCTGGGACAGATTTATCTGAATTCTAAGCAGGCAAAAAGGGACACTTTGAGCCTCACTCTGCTATGTGAACACTCACTGCAAACCAAAGGAATTACATTTGTTTCTAATAACAGATTAAGTGTCACAGGCAGTTTCTCCTCCTCTTCTCTATCACAGAATAAAGCAGTGCCTGCACCATGCAGGCTAGTCAGTTCCCTCCAGCACTCCAGCTGTAACTCCTCATCTTCAAGCTCTCATCACACTGATGAGCATTTTCATGCTTTTCAGAGCAGTTGTGCTTTCTAACAGTCACAACAGAAAACCTCTAAGATGTACAGATTCCCATCAGCTTTTCAATCAAGAACCAGACACTCGCCTGCCCACAGCATGCAGACAGCCTGCCCCAGGTCATAGCTGGACATTGCAATGTCAGAGACAACATAACACCAAATAAAGCTGCTGCTCTTACTCTTATTTCTCCATTTGCAGCCTGCCAGATCTTCATGGTCCCATCTGTGCTGGCAGACACGCCGAGGCCTCCACCACTGGAAATATCCAGACAGGTAATCTGCAGGAGGGACAAAACACACAATATGTTAGCTTTAGGTGATTCTGTACATAGCAATTCCTGCTCAAGAACGTACAACCCCACAGGAGATGTGCTAAGTACATCATCCAGCACAATTACCTCACCAAGACAGACTGCTTAACTCTTTAAAAACACCTGGAAGTGCCCATACATTCAGCTACAGATTTCAGCTCGGTAACACACCCCCTAACACTTAACATCCTTAAGCTCACTGACTTTGTCTCCTCAAACTCAATACATTTTGAGCTATCAATTATGCCTTTACATGAAGAGAGGATAATGAAATGAACAGGTTGCTCAAGGAGGCTGTGGATGCCCCATCCCTGCAGGCATTCAAGGCCAGGCTGGATGTGGCTCTGGGCAGCCTGGGCTGCTGCTTGGCGACCTGCACACAGCAGGGCTTGGAGCTGGATGAGCGCTGTGCTCCTTTGCAACCCAGGATATTCTATGATGAGATGAGCTGGGGGACCAGAAGCTGGCACAAAGCACCCCAGATTTCTTCTAATTGCCACCAACCAGACATAAAAAAAATTGTTATTCTCTGCTTGTTTCACTGCGGAGATGTGCAAAGCAGAGAGAAGAGCAATGCTGAGTCAGAGAGCTGCATGGAAAGAGGTTGGATTTTAGGCTCACTCCAGATGAAGCAGGAACTTGGATTTTCCCAGCAACTCATATGCAGTTAAGCAATGAGCTAAGCTGCTCTGCATAACCCCAGATAACTGCACTCCCTGCCTGCCCAGCTTGCAGATACTGCTTAAGATACCTATGGAGCCAAAGTTTCCCAAAAGACTAAACTAAAACTGATTTGATGCAAGCAGGCTGTCTCCTCAGAAGGGCTCTGTGACAGCAGGGTACAAACAACTGCATGCTCTGTGTTAACACCAGCACACCTGAGTACCTTTGAAGAGAACAGATGTTAAACTCACACTCCTCTAACAGGATCACCATTCCCACAATGAAAGACATTACTGTTGCCACTGAGAAAGGAAGATGTGTTGCAGTTGTGGATGAAGTGATGTAAGGTAACAGGGAAGCTACACCTGACATCATAGAATGGCTGGGGTTGGAAGGGAGCTCAAGGATCACGAAGCTCCAACCCCCCACCAA